CAGTGTCTGAGCACAGCAGGCACATGGGAAGGACGGGAAGATGTGAGACTGCTGTGGCTCAAGGTCAATGTTTTCCCCGCTGGTGCCTCATTTTTCTCCTGGCAAGTGCCAGGCTCTCCCAGAAACCCTGCCTGGTGACATTGGTTCCTGATAGCTGAGCAGATAACCTTGTGTGCATATGGCTGCCAATCCAGAAGACACCCCTCAGTTCTCTGTAAAGAGAACTCCAGTAGGAAGGTCTTGAGTTAACATATGATGAGGAGCATTTCTTACTCCTGGAGACACCCTCCGCCATGTAGCCAAGCGCTGACCTTCCTCACGGCCGGCACCCTGGGTTCTCTGGTTGACCTCTCTTCCTGGCCTGCTCCTGGCATCCTGTCTGGTACACCTTACCATCGTTTTCAGGTTTGTAACATTGACAAGTGTAGAGAGGACAGCCCCACAGACTTTGCTCTTTTAGTGCCATATGCCCCTGTGGTGTGTACGCTAAAAAGTGCAACCACTTGCTGTCAGCCCACCTCCAGCTTCTCCACACGAGCCAAATCTTCCCACCCACATGGTGCCATTTTACTTGAAATACTTGCACATTTTTGTAAAGCAGGGTGGATGAAATGGAAAATCATTTCATATCTTATCGTAGTAAGAAACTGTATTTTTTCTCCCCTCAGGGGACATTTGACTGAAAGGACTAGCTACTATCTCCTTTTGATTAAATGAACAATACCAGAGTGCTCAACAAGACTGTCTTTGAGGGTGAGGGTCTTACTATCACACTTTCACAGGATCTGGTCCAGTGTAGTACATAAAAGACCATCAGTAAATATTTGTTGAACTCATAGTTTATTCACTAGTTTGAATTATACCGGTCAGTTCTTTCAGTGTGGTAGGTTTATAAGTATGTGTCTTCCAGAACCCTGGGAGAAGGGCCTTGCGCTGCTGCCCCTTCCAGATCATCCCACCGAGGTCCACCTTTGCCAACATTGGAAACAACACTTTAGAGCGCCTGAGTGGCTCAGTCGGTTAAGTGTCTGCCTTTGGCTCGGGTCTTGATCCCAGGACACTGGCATCAAGTCCTTCATTGGGCTCCCTGCTCAGCGGGATGTCTGCTTCTCCCTCTGCCTACCCCTACCCCCCTGCCCCTGCTTGTGCGTGCTCCTGCTCTCTCTCTCTCTCAAAAATAAATAAAATCTTTAAAAAATAAATTAAAAAAAGAAAAAGAAACATCACTTTACTCACCTGAGTCTAACTTGCTTCACTAATATTAGGGAGAAGACATAAGTCTCCTGGCTAAACTCAAGGGGTTGTTGTCTCAAGAATCAGATAAAATACATGGAGGTCAAAGCATTGGTCTTTGTAAGTTACACAGTGCTGGGGGGCTTTAAGAATGCAGAGACTGGCATCCAGCACCCAGGTTTGAGTCTTGCAATGCCGTTTATAGCCATATGACTTTGAGAAATGCACATAACTCCCCTGATTCTCAGTGGCGTCACCTGTAAAAAAGGGATACTGATACCTACCATGTGAAGTTGTGGTGAGGACTGACTGGGATAAATATGTGGGATGTACACAGAGTCTGACATAGGGAGTGTTAGAAATAAATGGTTAGTAAGATCATCATCATTAACATGAACCATCTCAAAACAAGAGTGACGCCCTGACATCGGGATCCTGGCAGATCCAAAGGTCTCCATGAAAGGAGGGTGCAGGTATGTCTCTAGGTCTCTGGTAAGTGAGGGATGGTGACAGTGGTAGCTCCTACATGAATGGTCTGTCCAGAGCTTGTTTCTCTGGGACAAGAACCTTTGCTACAATTAGTATAGTTAAAATTAGTGTAATTTGTAGACATTTCTGTTATAGGAGCTCATCTCTCTTATTCTGAGATCTGATGACAGAATTTGAATTCTTTATAAGTTCAAGTCTTAAGCAATTTCATATTTATATTTTAAAGTATTTTTGAAAAGCTAGGAGAAAATCACTCATCATTTTATGATTAAAGATGCATATTATATACATATTTTTGCATCAAATTTTTATTTACATTCTAGTTAGTTAACATATAGTATAATATTTGTTTTAGGTATAGAATTTAGTGACTCATCACTTACATATAACACCCAGTGCTCATCACAAGTGCCCTCCTTAATGTCCATCCCCCATTTAGCCCATCTCCCCACCCACCTCCCCTTCAGCAACCCTCAGTTTGTTTTTTATAGTTTAGAGTCTCTTATGGTTTGCCTCCCTTTTTTTCCCTCTGATTGACTTACTTTGCTTAGCATGATACACTCTAGCTCCATCCACATTGCTGCAAATGGCAAGATTTCATTCTTGTTTATGGCTGAGTAATATTCCATTGTATATATATACCACATCTTCTTTATCCATTCATCAGTCGGTGGACACTTGGGCTCTTTCCATAATTGGGTTATTGTTGATAAAGGTGCATATTATATTTTAGCATAACTCATATTTCATTCCATTCACATTCTTCTAGCATGTAAGGTCACAGGCATCATTTTTACTATTATCTTTCATATTCAAGCTGAACCATGGCTCTAACTAAAAACTAGGTTCCTTTTTTTCTTCTTGTGGTGACTGATGGCCACATATATAAGGGAGGGAGAGGAGTTGAAGACCATAAAACAAATTAGACATATTCTCTGGATTAGGGGCATTCCATTAACTATCTCAGGAGCTCTATGAGATAAACATTATGTTTCCCATTTTATAGTTGAGAAACTGAAGCTCATTTTTAGTGACCTCTCCAAAATCTTACAGTTGGAAGGAAAAATAAGGACTAGAACCTAGGTCTACCCAACTGTATGAGACAGGGAATGTGGGTCTAACTTCATCAAGTAAGAGGAGAGTATCAAGGTCACTAAATATGAGAGCAGAAGTCAAAGGTACTGCCCGCTACAATCTTTGTTAATATCAGGGATTCTTGGAGAGAAAGTGACAAAATAGGAGGTTGGCTTATAAGATGTAATTTTCAAACATAAAACCATACCTTAAAGAAGACAACATTTGAACAGATAGCATTTCAGTCTTGCTCACCGGAAACATTTTCTCTGTCTCGGTAAGTGGACTTCCCTAGTTATCTGTGCCTTTATAATGCCTATGCTCTGAGCATTGGCCATATACATTTAATCACTATTTATTTATTTAAGAGAGAAAGAGCACAAGCATTGGGGGGAGAGGCAGAGGGAGAAGCAGGCTCCCCACTGAGCAGGGAACCCAACATGGGACTCGATCCCAGGACCCCGAGATCATGACCTCAGTCGAAGGTAGATGCTTAACTGACTGAGACACCCAGGCACCCCACATTTAATCACTTTCTAAAACTTATAGATAGGCCACTTAATAATATTTGAGTGAAAATTGTAAAGGTAAAACATAACCTATTTTAAAATAAACTCCTCATTCTCCACATTAAAGCAGTCTTTAGATAGCAGAGCATAAAAATGGAAACCCACAGATACTGACTCTGTGCCATTCTGTACCATCTCTTCATCCAAGCACAGACAAACCATTTTCTAGCAAGAAGAAAAGAGGGGAGGATTTGGGGGGAGGGTGAGTGGGATGCTGAGAATAAAGTGTGATCTTATAAGTCACACATTTTGAGTCAGGTCATCTACTGCCTTTACCTTGGGTACAACAATTTGGTTTTATTATCTTTATGTGACAGGACCTGAAACTCAGAAAATCATACACTGAATCCAGACTCTGGATGATCTGACTTCATAGAAGTCCTGCCTCCCAGGAGAGCGAAGGCTCTTCTGTCACTACATGTTTTAAAAGACATTTCTCATGTAGAAAGTTCTGTATTGAAAGACATCCTAGCAGGTATCAATAAAAAACATTGATATTGATTTTATAGCCAAAGCAGTAATTTTCCATAAGACAGTTCCTTATACGTGACCTTTAATAACAGTCAAAACCATAACATTAAGAAGGTACGTGGGGCATGACTGAGTTAATTATGATAAGGTCTACAAATCTGAGGTGTGTAGAAAGTAATTAACATGGATTTTCCCTACATATTCAGAGGCATTTGGCCTCTGAAAACCTGCTGATACTGTTTGGAATGTTTCATGCCCTATAGATCCCTCAGGGAGTATTCTGTAAGTAAAACAATCCTCTTAATTCAGTTTTAGTTGAAAATGGAATTGTTCTCAACTTCATGTTATAATGGAAAGAATAATTTGGGCTTAAAGGCAATGTTTTTGACCTGTTTTGAAAATTACTGTCCCCTCAGTTGGAAGAGGAAACAACTTATGTGCTTTAAAAATCTCTCAAAATGAGAGTAAAGAAAAACTGAGTTATTTCTCACCTACTGTGTTAGATTACATTTAGTGCTGTGATGTGTATAAGGAAGAACTCAGCCTGCTTTATTTACATAATGCATTTAAGATGAAAAACTAATGGCACACTGGCAAACAAAAATCAACAAACTTAGCTGTGTTTTAGCCATTGAAATTGAATGTATTTTAAAAATGAAAACCATTTCAAATTTTCAAAAGATGTAATTACAGTGATGGATTTCTCAAAATGACCCTGAGGAAAAGTTGAGTAAGCTTTATCTTTGTTTTACACAGGGAAAGGGAAGTAATAAAGTATATAAAAAAATGCTTAAAGGCAAGCAACTCCAGATAGGATTAAAATGAATTGTCAGTCACAAAAGAAAGACCTGTATTATGTGTAAGTCTGTCAAAAAGATCTGTATGTATATTTATTTATCTATGCTATTTTCTTCCCCTTTTTAAATTTAAATATATTTTGAACAAAACACTAGAATAAAAGCTAGTCAAGTCAGAGATTTTTGTCCATTTTTCCTACTACCCTTAATAACTAGAAGAGTCTTTTATATATTAGATGCTCAATAAGTATGTAAAGAATAAGTGAATGAAAAACAAATTTAATAATTCAAAGGTTGTTACAAACACATTTACCCCATGGACTTGACATAAAGTTGAAGAGAAATGATCTTGTTTCTTGTCTTTTAGATACACAAAGATGAAGACAGCAACCAACATTTATATATTTAACCTGGCGTTGGCAGATGCTTTAGTTACTACAACCATGCCCTTCCAGAGCACGGTCTATCTGATGAATTCCTGGCCATTTGGGGATGTGCTATGCAAGATAGTCATTTCCATTGACTACTATAACATGTTTACCAGCATATTCACCTTGACCATGATGAGTGTGGACCGATACATTGCTGTGTGCCACCCTGTCAAGGCTTTAGACTTTCGCACACCTATGAAGGCAAAGATCATCAACATCTGTATTTGGCTCTTATCGTCATCTGTTGGCATATCTGCAATAGTCCTTGGAGGGACCAAAGTCAGGGAAGGTAAGGGCAGTCATGTTCATCTCATTTTTAACCACCCTACTTCTAATTATACAAACTTTTAATTTGCAAGTGAGTAGGACACATATCTAGGGGAAAACCCAAAAGCCAGTGGAAATATAATGCCTAAATCCATGGAAGATGAAAAACACAACAGTTTTGTGCTTTCCATAGCTAAACATAGGATGGGATAAAGACATTACCCAAACAGAGATGCCCAACCTATCTGCTATTCTGGAACTGCTTATCAGAATCTGGAGGGGTGAGGATGAAGCAGGGAATCATAGGCATGTAGATTTTTAGAATACAATCCATTGCATGCTGGCAATTGTAAGATACACCTAATCCCTCCTCTTCTTTCTCCCTAAAAAAGGACCCTAAATCATCAGAGACCTATGCTGGCTCTTTACTCTTTTTCTTTAGGGGTTAATCTCCATGTTACTATCATAACAACTTCATTTGGCTGTAGGACATTCAGAATTGGGTTCACAGATGGATGACAGTACACATGAGCAAAACTTAGATTTTGGACATACTAGGTCTTACCCGATGCAAACAGGATATTTAATGTTTTCCCAGTGTTGCTACGCTAGTGGTTCTCACCCCAGGCTGCCTGTTGGAATCACCCGGGCACCTCAGAAAATACAGATGATCCTTGAATAATGTGGTGGGCACCAGCCCCATGCAATCAAACATCCTTGTATGACCTTTGACTCCCCCAAACTTAACTACTAATAGTCTACTGTTGACCCAGAAGCCTTACTGAAAACATAAACAATTGATTAACACATATTTTGTATGTTTTATGTTTATATGCTGTATGCTTACAACAAAGTAAGCTGGAGAAAAGAAAATGTTATGAAGAAAATCATAAGGTAGAGAAAATACATTTATAGTACCGCTCTGTAATGAAAAAAAAATCTGCGTATAAGTGCACCTACACAGTTCAAACCCATGCTGTTCAAGGGTCATCTATATTGCTGCCTGGGTTCCCCCCGGAGGCTCTGGTTTAATTGAACTGAGGCACAGTCTGTGTATCAAGATATTTTTAAAGATTTATTTATTTATTTTTGAAGGAGGGTGGGCATAGGGAGGGGGAGAGAGAAACCCAAGTGAACTCCATGTTGAGCATGGAACCCAATGTGGGGCTCAATCCCAAGATTCTAGCTGAAACCAAGAGTCAGATGCCTAACCATCTGTGCCACCCAGGCACCCCTGGGTGTCAAGATTTTTAAGATGTCCCCAGGTGACTCTGACCTGCAGCCAGGGTGAGAACTACTGTTGCAGCAGTTTTGCTTTACTAGTAAAAGTAAAACTATGAAAATATCTTTGGTCTTAGTAGAAATTCATTGGGAAGAGGGGAGCAGAACTTTGGACTTCATAAATGCTATTTATTGCTGTAGCAGTTCTCGAAAAGGTCTAGTTTGTTAGGGAAGCTCATGATACCTATAAATACAGATAATTGAATATGTGTAGTAGGGACCTACCAGATCATAGAAAGGGCAGGTGCTAAAATCATAACTTATCTGGCATAGTCCACATTTGTAATGAAACACAGTCTTTTCGCTCTTAAACTATAAAATGAATTTCCAGCTTAGCTGTGGAAGGTGTTAAGCTATAATACTTGGTAAATTTTAAGATATGCCAATATTTATCAGAGAAGCATTTTAAAATATGATTATTTACACACAGGATTTTGTTTCTTCATGCATGCAAAAAATGGAAAAGTTGCAAGAAACTCTTTCTAGCTTAGGGTGTTGATACTTAATAACTGGATTCAAGAGGAGAGCTGCATATTCACCATGAGGACTAGAAGAATAGGCCATGTAATAAAAGAAGATGGCGATTTTACCCAGGGCAAATGAAGAACTGATTTTGACATTTCATGACATACTTGCAGACTTAGCCACTACACTCCTCTAATCATTGTCAGAAAAATGACATCCTAGAAGCAATGGATTTCAATTCAGTTTCTGAAAGACGAAATGAAGATTGATGTAGGTTTTCCAGGAAGAAATTGCTGTAGATGAATGTGTGCAGATGCCATGGAAGAAAGGATCCACTAGTGTCGGGAGATTCTTTGTTTCTTTTATTTTCTAAAGCAGATTTTGTTTATATGTTGAAAGGTTGTCTCTGAACCATTTAGTACGCTCATTTTTGAGTGCTGGGCGACAAGTCAATTCTTGGATGACCAAGAGGAGTCTTGGAGTATGCAGAATAGCATTGATAGCAGTAGAACCTATGCTGCGTAGTAGATCTACAGAACTTTTTTACTTGTGTAATGGTACTCTTTGACCTTTGCCTCCCATCCCTCCTGCCCCAAGCTGCTGGAAACTACAGTTCTACTCTCTGCTTCTATGAGATTCCATGCATAAGGGAGATCATATAGTATTTGTCTTTCTGTGTCTGGCTTATTTCATTAAGCATAACGTTCACCAGGTCTCTCCATGTTGCCACAAATGGCAGCATTTCTTTCTTTTTAAAAACTGAATAATATTCCATTGTGTGTGCATATATACACACCATACACCACATTTTTTTTTATCCATTCATCCATTGGTGGACATTTAGGTTTTTTTCCCCATATCTTGTCTATTGTAAATAATGCTGCAGTGAACATGGGAGTGCAGATATCTTTGAGATATTGATTTCATTTCCTTTGAATATATACCAAGAAGTGGAATTATTGGATTATATGATATTTCTATTTTTAACTTTTTGAGGAACCTCCATATTGCTCTCCATAGTGGCAGCACCAATTTATGTTCCCATCAACAGAGGTTCCCTTTTCTCCACATCCTTGCCAACACTTATCTTTTTGTTTATTTTTGATAATAGTCACCCTAACAGGTATGAAGTGATAGCTCATTGTGGTTTTGATTGGCACTCCTCCAATGATTAGTGGTATTGAGCACCTTTTTATAATCCTGTTGGCAGTTTGTATGTCTTCTTTGGAGAAATGTCTATTTAGGTTCTTTGCCCATTTTAAATCAGGTTATTTGCTTTCCTGCTATTGAGTTGTATGATTTCCTTATATATTTTAGATATTACCCCTTATCAGATACATGATTTGCAAATATTTTCTTCCATTCTGTAGGTTGCCTTTTCATGTTGTTTCCTTTGCTGTGCAAGAGGTTTTTTGTTTGTTTTGGATTTTTTTTGTTTTTGTTTTTGTTTGAATTAGTTTGATGTGATCTCATTTTTTTATTTTTGGTTCTGTTGTTTGTGCTTCTGGCGTCATATCCAAAAAAACAAAACAAAACAAAACAAAACAAAACTCATTGCCAAGACCAGAAGCTTTTCCCTTATGTTATCTTCTAGAAGTTTTATGGCTTTGTTTACATAAGTCTTTAATCCATTTTGAGTTGTTTTTTGTGTATGGTGTAAGATAAGGGTCCAATTTCATTCTTTTGTGTGTGGATACCCCATTTTCCCAGCACCATTTATTCGAGAGCCTGTCCTTTCCCCACTTTCTATTTGTGGCACCCTTATTGAAGATTACTTGACTGTATATGTGTGGGTTTATTTCTGGGCTTTCTATTCCATTCCATTGGAATATGTGTCTTTTTTTATGCCAGCACCAGACTGTTTTGATTATTATAGCTTTGTAATATAATTTGAAATCGGGAAGTGTGATACCTCTAGCTTTGTTTTTGCTCAAGATTGCTTTGACTCTTCAGGGTCTTTTGTGGTTTCATACAAATTTGAGGATTGTTTTTTCTTACTTTTGTTTTGAGAGAGAGAGTGAGTGAGTGCGGGGTGGGGAGAGGCAGAGGGAGAGGGAAAGAGAATCTGAAGCAGGCTGCATGCTCAGTGCGGAGCCTGACATGGGGCTCAATCTCACAACCCTGAGATCATGACTTGAGCTAAAATCAAGAATTGTACACTTAACTGACTGTATCACCCAGGCGCCTCTGAGGATTTTTTTCTATTACATTGAAAAGTGCCATAGGGTTTTGATAGAGGTTGCACTGAATTTGTAGATTGTTTTGTGTAGTATAAACATTTTAACAATATTAATTCTTCTGATATCTGATTCATGAACATAGGATATCTTTCCATTTATTTGTATCTTAAATTTCTTTCATCAATGTTTTACAGTTATCAGTATACAGATATTTTATATTTATTTACAGATTTATTTCTAAGTGTTTTATTCTTTTTGATGGTAAAAAATGGTATTGTTTTATTTCTTTTTCAGATAGCTTATTGTTAGTGTATAGAAATGCAACCAATTTTTGTATGTTGATTTTGAACTTTTGAACTTTGCTCAATTAGTTTTTACTAATAGTGTTTTAATGGGGTCTTTAGGGTTTTCTATACATAAGATTGTGTCATCGCCAAACAATTTTATATCTTTCTTTCTGATTTGGATGCCTTTTATTTCTTTTATTGCCTAAGTGCTCTGGCTAGGACTTCCAGTAATATGTTGAATAAAAGTGGTGAGAGTGAGCATCTTTGCTTTGTTCCTGATCTTAAAGGAAAAGCTTTCAATCTTTCACCATTGAGTAGGATGCTAGCTGTGGGCTTGTCATATATGACCTTTATTATGTTGAGGTACAGTCCTTCTATACTTAATAGTTGAGAGTTTTAATCAGGAATAAATGTAGAATTTTGTTAAATATTTTTCTGCATCTATTGAGATGATCTTTTGACTTTTAATCTTTCATTCTATCACATTATTTGATTTGTGTATGTTGAGCCATACTTGCATCCCAGGGATAAATCCCACTTGATTATAATATATGATTCTTTTCATGTGCTGTTGAATTTTGTTTGCTAGTGTTTTATAGGACTTTTGCATCTCTGTTCATCAGGGATATTGTGGTATGCTTGTGGTATCAGGGTAATGCTAGCCTTGTAAAATGAGTTTGGAAGTATACTTTCTTCAACTTTTGAAAAAGTTTGAAATGGATGTTTAAATATCCTTTTTAAATGCTTGATAGAACTCACCAGTGAAACCACCTGGCACTTGGTTTTCCTTTGTTAGGAGGTTTTTGATGTAGTCTCAATCTATTTGTTACTGGTCTGTCAGATTTTCTATTTCTTTATGATTCAGTCTTGTAGGTTGTAAGTTTCTAGGAATTTATCCATTTCTTCTAGGTTATCCAATTTGTTGGTATGTAATTGTTTATAGTAGTCTCTTATGATCCTTTGTATTTCTGTGCTATCAGTTATTATGTCTTTTCTTTCATTTCATCTTTTCTCTTTTTTTCCTGTCTAACTAAGGGTTTGACTTTGTTTACTTCAAAAAGCCAACTGTTTTTTTCTACCATTTTTCTGGTCTCTATTTCATTTATTTCTCTTTTTTAAAATTTTATTTTATTATGTTATGTTAGTCACCATACAGTACATCATTAGTTTTTGATGTAGTGTTCCATGATTCATTGTTTTTGTATAATACCCAGTCTCCATGCAATATATACCCTCCTTAACACCCATCACTGGGCCAACCCGTCCCCCCACCCCTCACCCCTCTAATACCCTCAGTTTGTTTCTTGGAGTCCATAGTCTCTTACAGTTCATCTCCCCCTCCGATTCCCCCCTTCATTTTTCCCTTCCTTCTCCTAATGTCCTCCATGTTATTCCTTATGTTCCACAAATAAGTGAAACCATATGATAATTGACTTTCTCTGCTTGACTTATTTCACTTAGCATGATCTCCTCCAGTCCCAACCATATTGATATAAAAGTTGGGTATTCATCCTTTCTGATGGCTGGGTAATATTCCATTGTATATATATGGACCACATCTTCTTTATCCACTCATCTGTTGAAGGACATCTCAGTACTATTTCATTTATTTCTGCTCTGTTCTTTATTTCCTTCCTTCTACTAACTTTGGGCTTTGTTTGTTCTTCTTTTTCTAGTTCCTTAATCTGTAAAGTTAGGTTATTTATTTGAGATCTTTCTTTTTTCTTAATGTAGGTGGTTGTCACTATAAACTTCCCTCCAAGAACAGCTTTTGCTACATCCCATAATTTTGGTATATTGTATTTCTATTTTTATTCATCTCAAGCATTTTTAAATTTTCCTTTGATTTCTTCTTTGACCCATTGGTTGTTCAGGAGTGTATTATTTAATTTCTACAGATTTGTGAATTTTCCAATTTTCCTCCTGTTTAATGTCTATTTTTATGTGGTCAGAAAAGATACTTGATATGATTTCGATCTTCTTAAATTTGTTAAGACTTGCCTTGTGGCATAACATATGTTCTATACTGGAGACTATTTCATGTGCAATTGAGAATAATGTGTATTCTGTTTCTCTTGAATGAAATGTTTTGTATATGTCTGTGAAGTCCATTTTATTTTTTTAAAGATTTTATTTATTTATTTATTTATTTTGGTGGGGAGGAGCAGAAAGGGAAGGAGGGGGAGGAGAAAAGACTCTCAAGCAGACTCCACATTGAGTGCAGAGACCCACACAAGCCTCACCAGATCACCCATGTGATCATGACCTGAGCCAAACCAAGAGTCAGATGCTTAATCTACTGAGCCACTCAGGTGCCATCCCCCCCATTTAATTTATAGTGTTGTTCAAATCTGCTGTTTCCTAATTGATTTTATATCTGGATGATTTATCCATTATCGAAAGTGGGATATAGACGTGCCCTATTATTGCTATTTCTGTCTCCCTTCAGTTCTGTTAATACATGCTTTATATATTTAGCTGTTCCAATGTTGGGTGCCTGTAGATACTTAAAATTGTTACATCCTTTTGATGACTTGGTCCTTTTATCATCATATAGTGACTTTGTTTTTCTCTTATGACAGTTTCTAAGTTGTAGCCAGTTTCGTCTGATATAAGGACAGCTACTTCTGCTCTCTTTTTGTTTCCATTTGCAAGGAATATCTTTTTCTATCCTTAACTTTCAACTTATGTGTGTCATTAAAGCTAAAGATGCATTCGTTTTCCTGAAAGAGAACATTTAATAAAAATGGTGCATGTGGACTTGAATTTCCTTGATGATTGCCTCAGTACTCTCCTTTCTCTTTGTTGGTATAAGCTTAGCTTCACTGATATTTCTGGAGAATATTTCTAACCCTATCACTGAATGTTTTGCAAAGTCTTGTAAAAGTAGCTGTAGTTGATTATTTCACCCATTCAGCAAATATTTATTGAGCTCCTACAACATGCAAGACAATTTGTTCAAGAGGAAGCTGATTAAACATCAGCTCTTATGTTGCCTTACCTATCTCAGCAGATTGCTCTTCCATAATAACTACTGTAATCAGTCCCCATTTTCAAGGGTTTCCATGTGGTATTCATTTATTCACTTATTTAACAATTTGTACTCCTTAAGCACCTTATGTTCTTATTTAACGGTTTGTATTCCTTAAGCATCTTATGTTCTTGCCACCCTATGTGGCAGGGATTATATATTGAATAAAGCAGGCTGGTTATCCACCCTAAGGTAGTTTGCATTCTGGATGGAGAGAAAAATGCCAGGAAAGGTAACATTATCACAGAAGAGCTTCTGTCTACCTTCTGTCATTATATAATGGTTAAAAAATAAGTTGAGTATAATATAGAGAGAGAATAAAGTTGCAAGGGAGAGAACTATTTAAATGGATCAGCCTCTGTATAAATGTCTCTGATCTGACATTTAAGCTGAGGCCAAACTCAAGAAAGAGACAATGTTGGAATACAAAAAGTTAAGCATGGAAAAGACAAAACAAAACTAAACGTGTTCCCTACCTTCAAGGAGACTAGATTCAATAGACAAATCAAATCCAGACTAGTGTATTTTTAAAATCAGATTTTTCACAATGTGCACCTGTCAAAAGTTGTTTAATACTTTTTTCAATGATTAATATTGATGATTTAAAAAATGATTTTAACTGTTAATATTCCCATAAACACTAAAAGCACAGGGGCGCCTGGGTGGCTCAGCCATTAAGTGTCTGCCTTCGGCTCAGGTCATGATCCCAGGGTCTTGGGATCGAGCCCTGCATCGGGCTCCCTGCTCAGCAGGAAGCCTGCTTCTCCCTCTCCCACTCCCCCGCTTGTGTTCCCTCTCTTGCTGTGTCTCTCTCTGTCAAATGAATAAATAAAATCTTTAAAAAAAAACTAAAAAACATTAAAAGCACAAATTTAAAAAGATGCTTGTTTGTTTCTAATACTCTTCATAGTAATAGTACTTTAAACAATGATTTTTTTAGAGAATCAAAAATTCTGAGTTATTCTGGAAGTTTGCATTTACTAATGAAAGTTTTGATCTGGTATCTAGTTGATAAAAGAGATGTTTCTAAGGTAGTCATCTTTATTAATTGGGCAAAATAATTATATTCTTTGTATTGTAAGTATGTCTAATTGAAAGTCTAAGATGGTACATTTGGTTTTTACTAAGAGATATTTGATTAAGATCACATAAAAATGTTTTAGAAAATATAAATAGAGCTGTTTCACTACTTAAAAATATTCTTGTCCTATTTTTGAAGCAGATTTTCCTGATATCAGAAGAAAATATCATAATAAAAATTATGCTCTTCTTATTGCTCATGATTACTTTATTGATAAGGAAAGATCAGATTAGGACAAAGAGTTTTGCCTGCTGTGAGCTCAATGACCTCTCAGAGGGAAGAGGAAAAAATGTGGACTGGTTGATGCTTGGGGAGGAAGGGAGCCCCAGAGGGATGAGCAGGCCCCCAAGGAAAGTATCAAAAAAGTGCTTATACTGGGTCTCTGTTCTTTTTGGTCTCTGCTCTTTCCAGTATGAAGGTCACTCCAAAGAGAATACTATCCAGCAAAGAGAAGCAGAGCAAATAACATAATTTTCCAAGTAATCAAATAAAGTATTTGTTTTATCTGTTACATAGTCAGTGTTGGTAAAAATGAAAAATGTGTCTCACTTATGAATTTCCTTGATGATGGTGCTAATAAGGATGATTTTCTTCCTCCTTTTTCTCCCTTTCCTTGTTCGTTTTTTTTTTTCTTCCTCCTTCTCTTCCTTCTCCAAAAGTTTACTCATGTTTCAACAACACCCTTAATCAATTGATTCCATTAAGTCACAACTCCTGGGTCATATTTAAACACACTTTGTACAAATTTTTACTGACCCACATAATGCTTTCTTGTAAATCACTTGATGTTTTGAGACAAGTTGGCTTTTGCTAGACTTGGAATATTTAGTCATTTATTACAAATGGACACTAGCTTTTATTGTCAGAGCCTTAGGTCTGGGAGAATTGTTAATGAATGGAAATGTACGTAAGGGCTTATGCTATATTACCAGTTTAGCTCTTCTGAAAGTCATCCACATTAAACTGGTTTCCACAACTACATAATTCATATTGCTAGCTAGTAATATGTATTTCATAGCACTGCGTATGTTACCAATAAATGGTGACTTTCTGGCTTCATTGATCTAAGCACAGATAGGATGGTTAATATTATACATAGCATTCATTCCTAATTTGGTCATCTACTTCAGGTAATATCATCTCACCATAATTGGACCTTTGTACCCAAACATATTAAAACTCACTTTTAGAATACTTTGCAGCCACAGTAATAAGAAAATATTTTCTTTTTGTGCTTTCATTTGTTTTGTTCACCTTGTCCAGATGTGGATGTCATAGAGTGCTCCTTGCAGTTCCCGGATGATGATTACTCCTGGTGGGACCTCTTCATGAAGATCTGTGTCTTCGTCTTTGCCTTTGTGATCCCTGTCCTCATCATCATCATCTGCTACACTCTGATGATCCTGCGCTTGAAGAGTGTCCGACTCCTTTCTGGCTCCCGAGAGAAAGATCGCAACCTCCGTCGGATCACCAGGCTGGTCCTGGTAGTGGTGGCAGTCTTTATCATCTGTTGGACCCCCATTCACATTTTCATCCTTGTGGAGGCTCTGGGGAATGCCTTTCACAGCACAGCTGCCCTTTCCAGCTATTACTTCTGCATTGCTTTGGGTTACACCAACAGCAGCCTGAACCCCATTCTCTATGCCTTTCTTGATGAAAACTTCAAACGGTGTTTCAGAGACTTCTGCTTTCCAATTAAGATGAGGATGGAGCGACAGAGTACTAGTGGAGTCAGAAATACAGTTCAGGATCCTGCTTATGTGAGGGATGTTGATGGGATAAATAAACCAGTATGACTAGTCGTGGAGATGTCTTCTTATAGTTCTTCAGGAAGAGAAGAGTTTAATGATCTCGGGTTAACTCAGATTAGTACTGAAGTCTGAGATGGAAGGTAGAATTTTTAACAAACTTTTAGAAATCTCATGGTCTGAAATCATAAGATGCAGGCTGTGTTAGCCACCCAGGTCAGTGGAAGCATCAAGGCTGTAGGGATGGAGTATAAAAGATTCAAGTAAGAAAATACAGCCCCTTTATAAGGCAGGGAAGCAAGGCTGACTCCCAGTTCCTTTGATGAACAAAGAAATAAGCCTTTTTCTTCTGGTTACCCAGATTTAGTCCAAGACCCATCTGCTGTGGCCTTTCCATGCAATGTGGTTCTAAAAGCTCTGTTTTAAAAAAAGGACAAGGAAAAAATTCTTGGTTTCAGAGCATAGTAGGTGTCCAATCCAGATGCTTTACATTGACAACAACCTGAATAAAAACAAGAACCATTTCCAGGGCATGTGCCCAGCTCACTTTATGCTACATGGATACACATTTCATGTGGCTGTATAGTGACGATTCTGGCTTAAGTATGGGTTGGACCCACACCTGAGGTATCTGATGTTCATGTGTAATAGGAAATTATCTTGATATTTATGAAGTTACTTAAACATGCAAAAGGTGATTTTCAACATAGTTTAATTTCTTAAAAGGCACAGTTTGTTTCGCAGCATGCTATTCAGATAAATAATTTCATGATAAAGCATGTCCTGATGTCAAGAAATATAAAGCGGTTTAAATACCACTGAAAGTATATGTATTTCATCTGTAAATAATAGTATATGTGCAAATAAGGACTGGGCTTGCCTTCCAGTCAAGCACTTTCCCGAGGACACATTAACAATATTGCCTGAGTTATTGACAGTTGATGCAGAGACATTTTGTGGCAACATGAGTTTCTTTCTGGGAATCGGTCACGCACCGTCTCTTTCAGACCCCTGAGCACCATTTAGGCCTTTAGTGGTGCTCTTAAATCATGTGTTAAACAACCACAAAATATTCACTCATTCCCAGGTTATTGACTTGGCAGAATCTAATTTATATGCAGCATCCTTCATGAATATATAGCTGTTACCAAATTTTCTATCTGTGGAGGGAGGGGGTTTTGCTCATGTTAAACTTGGGCTAGGATTTTGTGGCTTTTGGCAGGAAGTAGAAATGTTCCTAATTGTGGGCTGAACAAGGACATTATGTCACCCGTGGTGCTTGGACATACCTTGCACTGTGTTCTGCGAAGAGCATACTAGCTGAGGATCATGCCACGAGTAGCACATTTAGGATAATTTTGCTAAAACTTCCAGATGATATTTTAATTCCCTCATCTTTCCCCTGAAACTTATGATTTCAGAGGTAATGGCTTTTTTTGTAATTTGCCTGGGCAGAAGAAAAGGATAATTTAGAAATAACCCCTGTCTCCTCTTCTTTAAGCCTATATGTTATCAAGGCAGCACCCCCTGGACTTTAATGGTAAAATCAAATTTATAGACCTACATCCTCATAGACATCATTACATCTCTAATTTCTGTTCCCTGTGTACTTTCTGTCTTGTGTATATACTCATTCCTTTTGGAAACAAGCCTTGCATTGAAGGCTTTATATGTGGCTTCAGAATTTTACTATGATGATGTTTGTCTACATTCCAGATTTTCATGGCATCTAACAGATGATTTACGTCAGAAAGACAAAGTTCTTCTGAATGAACCCAAAGTGCTCTTTTGAGCATTTCTAAAATTTCAGTGATTTTCTTTGGTGTCCAAAGACACCAAATTGTATTCTTGTATTCTTGTATTCTTATAACTAAATGTAAATAGGAATAGCTTAAATATTGGTCGGCATTCATCCCATGGTTAAAAATCTTGGCTACCATATAGAAGGGATATTTATATAGAGAGTAACTTCAGGAACAAGCCCTACTGATGTGAGAAATATACAAATCTCTTTGTGGAACGGTAAGACCCAGGAGATTTTCTTGATTCTTATGCACTGCACAAATATACAATCATGGAATAAAATTATAGTAATTATAGTAATGGGTTCTCTTTCACTTAGCACCCTATGTGCCCTTATGGCATCTGTTGCCATTATTGGAGTCTGAACTTTAGCCAGATTATCCTGCATGTCTTTATATCTATGTTTGCAGCCCATGGAGAGAGAGAAGTAGCTGAGTGCTCATGAGGTGTTCTAAGTTCTCTGTTATTGTGGGCACCAATTTCTCTAAACTGGAGGAAGATAGAGTAGCTTTGTTATTTTAGGGCACTGCTTTTAGGAATGAAAAAGTGAGTCATATATGTTAGAGAAAATACCACTTACACAAAAGTATTCATTTGTCAAAAGTGTGTATGTGTGCACACGTGTGCATGCATGTGCGAGTGAGTGTGTGTGCATAAGTATGTGTGTGTGCTCATGTGGGCATGCATATGCGAAAGTGTGAATATATGTTTTCTGTGTGTGAATTGTGGGTGTGCATGCCTGCATGTGTGTGTGAATATACGTGTGTGATTATGTATGTATGCAAATGTGGGTATACATGTTTGTGTATGTTAGTTTGCATGAGTATATGTGTGTGCATGCATGTGTGAGTGTGAGTAAATGTGTTTACATGTGTGTGATTATGTGTGCACATGCATGCATGTGTATGAGATGATGTATGTTTGTCTGTGTCCCATGTCTTGATATTCCAGCTCTCTCATCACAGCAAGGAGGGCACACTGTTTGCTGTGTTTCTTTGAGACCAGAACTGTGTGTATTGAACCTCAAGATCAATTCTACATATATTCCAACCTCCCACCCTGGTGACTTCTGGAAGATAAGAGCTAGTGAAGGTCATAAAAAGATACAGAGAAATGAAACAGCCATGCAGGAGGCAGCAATGAGGGTGAAAACCCATAATTCTATCTGGGAGGAGACTGGCATTAGTGTCTCAGAAATACTCTTAAGAATCTAAAATCATCCCCTATGCAAAGAGCTTAAGTCAAAAATCAAAGCATAATGCTGCAAAAGAAACACAGTTTAGAAAGTTAGTTTTGAAAAAAATCAAGGAATATTTACATAAATCTTAAGAAAGTGGTTCCATTCTATGATGTATTACTGAGAAACACAAGTTCTTAAATCTGTAGAACCATTATCGGACAATTTATAGATGTTTCGTCTAGTATTAGGATGTAATAAGATGAATAACTGGAATAAAAGGAATACATTTTATTGGTATTCCTTATTGGCTGGCTTTAAATTAGACCTTTTTAAGGAGAAAACTATGACAAGGCTGTATGTCTATCCATTGAGATTTATTTTCTAAATAAGAACTGTTTGGAAGATTCAGGATAAATATGAAAATCCTATCCCAAAAGGACATAAACCTGTTTGCCCTGAGGCAGTTTTCTTCTTTGAAACAAAAGTATACTCATATATTCTTTATTGTATATATTTATATCTTGTAAATTTGGAAGGTGATAATTATGCATTGTATATAAGATTGTCTGTCTTGCAATAAAATAAAAATTGCACCTGCTCAAAACACAGCAGTCAATTACTGTGGTAAATCATTTATTATTTAATGGCTTTGATGATGCTGTACTTCAGTAAGAACAATGTTACCTGTTTCTCAAAACTAAAAACAGTCTCTTTGATTTTTCATCCATGACAATCTCGTGGATAATTAACAGAAAGGAACAAAACATGTAAGGATCTATAAACCATGATGCTAAATTCCAAAACCTACAATCACTTAGGAAAATTCCACAGTTATGCTGTCAAGATCCCAGAATCAATGTTATACACAGCCTTCCCTATGGAAAACCACTTTTTCATTATGGAAAATATTCAAAATTCAAAATGAAAATTTCCCATCAATAAAAGCATAAAGAGATCACACTCTCCTGCCCCTCTTCCAAAACAATATAACTACATTACCACCATAAATTACCTGTTTCTAAGCCTCATGGTATTTGTACACATAGAGAGTAATTTAGAAACCGGTATCTTGACAAAAGAAGGATTTTTTTTTTTTTGGTAAAGAGAAACAAACAGGGAAGGGAAATCAAAGAGGGACTCCTCTTTCTAATTGGAGAGAACATACTAGCAGGTTCTACTTTCATTTAAAACAGCAAATTTCTTGTTACAAACTTTACCTTTGATAACTCAATTTCATTTGGGATTGCATATCAAGTATAAATTGGACTGGAGAGAAAACTATGCAGCAACTTTTAGGCATTATGATATCTTCTCCTCTCTGTAATTAATTTGCTGCACTGTACATTCCTATAGATAGTCTCGAGGTTTGTAGAAACTAGTTGATAACAATAAAAAACAAATATTATAACTAATTTTTTCAATAACTTGCTTGAGAGGATGCTCGATCATATTTGCATCAGGAATTATGCCAGATTCTGCATAGATAAACAAAACAGACACAATTTTGATACTTATGTCTATGGAAAACAAGCAATTAAGGAAATAATTACAACGTATTGCAATGAGAGCACAACTTAGTGGATACAACCTATTCTAAAAGGTTTACCTATCTTTTTAAAATGCTTTATCTATGTCTATACACTGCACCTGAAACTACTAGAAAAGTTAGAATAACAGTATTCTTACATATGAAGATAGTTAAAATGGCAACTACTAGTAAAAACATAAGTGACTTTGTGGATTTTAAATAGTCGAGGAAGGCTATATGTTGAAAGCCAAATCAATTAGGAACAATATAGTCTTGGAATTATATGAGGATTAGACATTGATAATTATGAGCTGTGCTATAAGGTGTTCGTAAAACACAGACCAAACTACTGGGTCTAGTGTAGTTACTTTCAACAATTTTTAATGCAACTAGGGAGGAAAGAGTTAAAATAGCTGGTTTGCAACCAATTCATTCCTCTTGTGGAGGAGCCCCCTTTACGGGTGGGACAGGAACAAAGATCAGTAACTGCCTAATATCCTCAACTGGACCTCTGATAAATAATGATTTTTGCCTGGT